ACATAGTTCTGGTCACACTTTATTTTAAGGTCCAATTCTCACTACTAACTAACTGTAAACTACGACTTTTGTCTCAATAAACGCCTAATTTGCTGCTTATTAATAGTTAGTAAGGTAATTGTTAAATGTAGGTATGGGGTAGGATTAAGGGATCTAAAATATGGTCATGCAGATTAAGGCATTAATATGTGCTTTATAAATATAAACAGCCAATAACTAATATGCATGCTAATAAGCAACTCGTTAATAGTGAGAATTGGTCCTTAAAATAAAATGTTACCATAATTCTTTGGCAATGTCAGAAATGAAGTTGTTCACTCAGAATTCAGACACAACTACAAAATGGCCAACACTCAATATAGTGCTCTATATAGAGAATAGGGAACAGCAGAGGAGATTAAAACATTAAACTGAGGTCCTGACTCTCTGTAGTCATTATAAAAAAATCCCAGGAAGTCCTTCAAAAAAAGAAGGGGTGTAGGCACCCTGGCCAAATCTGCCTCTTGTCCTTTGTTACATTAACATTGTTAATGTTTCCTAACATTGTTCGGGAGGCAGACACACTCTGTCAGTTTAAATCTAGATCAAAGACCCATCTCTTTAACCTGTCTTACACATAACACACTAACACATTTCTAATATTCAAATCCGTTAAAGGATTTTTAGGCTGCATTAATTAGGACAACCGGAACCGGGAACACTTCCCATAACACCCGATGTACTTGCTACATCGTTAGAAGAATGGCATCTACGCTAATATTAGTCTATTTCTTTCTTATTCCGAGGTCACCGTAGCCACCAAATCCAGTCTGTATCCAGCCCAGATGGTGGATCAGCACCTAAAGATGACCTCTACAGCCCTGAAGTCAGCGGAGACCAGGACAACTTGATGAGCCCCAGAGACAGATCCCCAATGAAGAACTTGTCTCCTAGACGGCCGCCGGGACAAGACCACAGGAACCAGATGAGTCATAAACAGGAAATTACAGTGTGCTTAAGAGGCAAAACAATTTTTGTTCTAGGTGGTTGGCTGATCACAAGAATCCCTAGTAGCCACACAAAATAAACACACACACACACACACACAAAAGGGTGGCAAACCAGTTGGATGGATCCATCAACTGTCTACAACAGTCCTGAGCTCAGAATGCTAGTGTACACACATTAATTCCCAAGGAAACATTTCCGAAGTTTATTCCCATTCGCTCAAAATGCAACCTTGAGATGTAAAATAGCACCATCAGTTATCTTTTAAATCATTAGCAACATTATAAAACCTGGGCACATGATGCATTGTGGGTAGGTCATAAAGCAGGGTGAGGCTGTATAGAGTCAACATGCCTTGAGAGGGTGCAAAGTCTGTATATACAACCTTATCAGTGCCCATTATACACATTTAAAACCTTGTCATTTATTGAGTTCCTTCTGTTCTTCCTCAGGATGAGTGTGTTTGTTACAGAAAAAGAGGGACAGAGTATTAGATAAATATGAAACTTATTAAATATATCTTCAAGGGACCATGGATAGAAGACGTACGTGTGTGTGTGTGTGTGTGTATTTGGGGTGATAATGATAGAAAAAATTGTGTTTTAGTTTTGCACATATCGTGTCACACATTGCCGGAAACGGTAACTGGAAAAACAGGTTTAACTCAAACTTCAACACTGTACGAATACATAAATACACCAAAGACACACACGGACACGCAAACAGACATGCGCTCTGACTGTCTATGCTAGTAATACATTTGACCTACAGTAGATCTCTGAGTCAAGGTCATCTGATGGTGACTGCGCCAGTGGCTCAACCGCCCAAGAACTTTAAATAACTCAAGACACGGAAGAGCCATATCGAAGTGTAATACACAGCGTGATTTTAGACCAATGAGATTTCACAGTAGGCAGGGCTACAAAGTGCAATGGTGCACCAATAGCAACAGAATCTCAGATTTACACAGAAGACAAAAGTTTGTTCACTCTGATCTGTGTATTAGCACAGTACTAAGATACTGGACCAATAAAGAATCTAAGCTTCATAGATTTGAAGAACATAAACTTCAAAGCTGCATTTTTTATATACAGTATGTTACAGCAAAATGGAATAGATAGTATATTTCCACATTTTAAAATTATTATTAGTTGCAATTTCTGATTTATTAAAAAAAGAGAAGACCTAGGAATGTGACGTCTCATATTTTTAATAAAACCGTTATGATTTTTGTCCCTCCATTTGAAGTCCATTCTACCAAAATTTGACTCTTCAAAAAATTCATAGATATTGTAAAAGTAATCCATTTGAATCAAGCAGTTCCAAGTCTTCCAAAGAGACATCAGCGTTTTATATGATGAACAGGTATAATTTAGGCTTTTATTCACATATAAACATCAATCAGCACATATAGAGCACATCAAATATGGTAAACAGAAGCTCAACCATACTTGGCTGATGCACAAGAACAAACCTAATTGGTTCTTGCACATCCAAAGCACATTTGAGCTTCCATTTACCATAAACTATGTGCTCTATATGTCAATGTTTATTTGTGAATAAAAGCCTAAATTATATCTGTTCATCATACAATACGACCATGCCTCTTCAGAAGACTTGGATTAAACGGTGATTCCTATGGATTACTTTTACAATGTATTTAAATGAACAGACAGAAATCTCCCAGGTTTCATTAAAAATATCTTTATTTGTGTTTCAAAGATGAGTTAAAGTCTTATGGGTTTGGAACTAAGGTGTGTAAAGGTCACACTTTAGTTTGGGGACCAATTCTCACTAACTATTAGCTATGACTTTTGCCTCAATAAACTCCTAATTTACTGCCTATTAATAGTTAGTAAATTTAGGTATGGGGTAGGATTAAGGGATCTAAAATATGGTCATGCAGATTAAGGCATTAATATGTGCTTTATAAATATAAACAGCCAATAACTAATATGCATGCTAATAAGCAACTCGTTAATAGTGAGAATTGGTCCTTAAAATAAAATGTTACCATAATTCTTTGGCAATGTCAGAAATGAAGTTGTTCACTCAGAATTCAACAAAATGGCCAAAATGGCCAACACTCAATATAGTGCTCTATATAGAGAATAGGGAACAGCAGAGGAGATTAACTGAGGTCCCTGAGGTCCTGACTCTCTGTAGTCATTATAAAAAAATCCCAGGAAGTCCTTCAAAAAAAGAAGGGGTGTAGGCACCCTGGCCAAATCTGCCTCTTGTCCTTTGTTACATTAACATTGTTAATGTTTCCTAACATTGTTCGGGAGGCAGACACACTCTGTCAGTTTAAATCTAGATCAAAGACCCATCTCTTTAACCTGGCTTACACATAACACACTAACACATTTCTAATATTCAAATCCGTTAAAGGATTTTTAGGCTGCATTAATTAGGACAACCGGAACCGGGAACACTTCCCATAACACCCGA